AAGGTATGTTCTCGATTCTGGCGGTTTTCTACTTTCCGGGTCTACTTGGAATCACAGACGCCAGGCTAATATTGAATTCCTTGAAAGGAAAAGTTGAACGTAACTAGTAGCTAACGTATGATCAAAATTCCCTTTCCGTCGCCACTGCGAGTAGCGTTTATACGGATTTTAAAATAAACAAAGAACTTGTACCAAAACTGGAGTTTATTGCATGAAGTTACTGGCATCTGCGTCATCTTGATTGTTACTCCCCAGAAAGCCCCCCGAAGCGCGCGAGACGTGTTTTAACGCGCGAGTTGCGCGCAAAACTAGCAGTGCCCCAAGGCTTTGTTAGACGTTCGGGCGTGTGCCCGTCGCCTTTGCTCGTTGGCTATCTGATTGCTGACTCTCTTTTTTGTTCCACCAGATTGCGAGAGAAAGAAAAGGAGATTAATAAACTCAAAGAACAATACGAGGCTGAAATCAATAATCTTCGCGGTCTGGTGAGACAAAAGCAACGCCAACTGGAACTGATGATTGGAGAGAACAGGTGCGTTATGTCTTCAGGTCCACACGACGTCTAAATAAACCATTGGTTGTTTCTTGCGGGATCTCTAATGTAGAAATGTTTGAGGCAGGCTTGCGTTCAGTGTTTTTTTTTCTACTTTCCATGTTTTTTTTTTTTGTTTCTTTTTGTCTCCAACCTGCGGTAGGTGCTTGCCTAGTCTCTTTACGGCGTTTTCGCAGTCCCTCTCGGCACCTGCTCTCGGTCAATTCACTTCGGTGACGTATCCGAGGCGAAATGGGCGGAAAACATCTTCATTTCACATCTTCGCTTGGACTATGTTACTCGAAACGCTTTGGCCGCGCGGAATAATGAGGCAAAGGCACTAGGCAAGGGTAGGTGCTACAAAGGGATAAGAACAGGTGAATCAGACGCGCGCGTGTGCATTTTCCGCACGATTACAAATGCCCTCTTCTTCCTTTTCTGCCGTCTCCCACGCGCGCCATTTCTTGATAAACATGAAAAACGTCTATTGAACTGATAGTCTATGATAAGCAGTCATTGCCGCTATTCCCCCAAGGTTGTGACCGGAATGTTGCAAATAAAAGAAAGGAGAAAAAAATTCATAAAGCTTGAACCCGCATCACTTGATTTCTAACCCACATCCGTATTCACTACACCTCTAAGGGCTAACTACCGTCACCGGTTATTTTTAACGAACTTTACATGCCATTGATCATTACGTTATTTGAAAGCTGACCGTTAAAAAAATACTTAGCCCTCATCACTGCACTTCGGTGCCAATCCCTATACTCAACTCTTTTCCGGTTTGTACAACTGGCTGTCTCTGATTTTTACACTTTTCTCAAAATGTGCCCTCAAAACAGCGCTTTGCACTAACGACGTCACAAATTCCGGGTCCCTGCTGTGACTCGGACATTGAAAAGTCAGCGGGAAAGTCACGTTCGCCAACAAATTTACGTCGTCTTTGAAGATTCTTATCGTCAAAAGAAACAAAATCCAGCTTGTTTTCGATAAAATATACCCCCAAAGTATTAACGTGTGCCAAGACAAGGTTAAGCATGAAAAAACCTGTACAGATGAGTGATTTTATTAATAACGATAGTGTCATAACTGTGAGTAAATACGGCATTTTACTAAGAAATGTATGGATAGTAGGACGTCATAGCTGTCCGTAAAAGGCTCATTTGGTTCAATTTAGAGGCAAAGGATACTCAGTTTCTTCTTTTCAAGTGCGAGGGAAACTCTTGTTACTCTACAACAGGTTATATATAGCACTGTATAGTGCCTACCAGACCCGCACAACCAAACATAACCAACTTATACAATTTCCAGTTTGTGCTAGTGTTGGTTTGCTTTTCATTTTAGAAATTCTGCTACATGCTTGCAAGAAGCACATACAAACTCGATTTTCTCTTTAGCAATTTCGGTTTTGGAGTATTACACAGTCAGAAATGTTATGTTATGTTTCAGTACAGTCAGGTCCACCTAACGAGAATATAGTTCAAAACCTCTAAAACTTAGCATTGTTAAACGTACTTTAGTGTAGATATAGGCATATTTTTACCCCCTAAAAATTTTTCATCTGTTCGGATTTCCTAGCTGAAAGTCTAGTGATCCGAAAATTATAGGGATCAAAACTTAAATTTTCGAAAATTTCAGCCAGAAAAAAGGCTCCCTAGGGGACCTTTTAAGGGTAAAAATCCGTTAAAAATGGGCAATTATACCATTTTTTAGATGTTCGAAAATCCTAGGAGAGACAGGCAAGCAAGAAATTTTACTACAAATGTTCCGAAAATTCTAGATCTCAAATCGTCTTCCGAACAGATATTTTCCGAAAATTGTCGTTGGGTGCCCCTGTACAGTGCTACGTAAGACAGAGCTACGGATCCGATTTCAGTAGGTTTCATTGACCAGGTCGCTGTATTTTCTGATTTTCGTTTATTTGAGTTACTTGGACCAGGTTTTACTCCCTATGGCAGTAATACCTTTTATATATTAGAATTAATCCCAAAAATCATTTTAAAAACGCTCATTGTCAATTCTATGAACAGGTGATGAACAATTTTCAAGCGTTTTGTTGCTCATACACAGCCTTTGAGTATTACGTTATGTAATAAACATGAGTTGTCCAACTTGAGTTTGGGGCATCCGTTCGATTTTATTCACTACCATTCCCTCTAAGACTTACCGCTTGGTGCTGATTTGACACTTCCATAAAAGTTCGACTGATATTGGTATTGTTTATTTCTATCTTCAGGAACGTTGACAAGGAACTAGAATTAGTTTGGCGAAATGCTGCCGCCGATAATAAACGAATGAAGAACACAGTTCGACAAAAGGGAGCCATGTTCGACTCCGATTCTGACCCCAATGCCCATTTGTCATCTGAAGAAGGAGAGGCTACATAAACGATGACACCGTACGAAGAAGATATAGTTTTTCAAGAAGACGCTCCAAACAGCTTACGTTTCTGGAATCCTCGGGGGGGGGGGGGGGG